AAGGGGTAGGACTAGATAAGTTGTATACTTCTTCCTACTCCTTTGAACATATAACTGTGATGATGTTTGTATTACTTACTTTCACTTTTATTTTCCTTACATAATTTTTGTTTGCATTTTGTCATGTTATTGTATGTTTTATATATGTTCAATAAACAATCAAACAAACAAACAAACAAGACTGGGACCCCAAGCCATGGTACCATGAATGCGTTGTGGTGAGAGGAAACGGACGTTTCACCCACATGGCTTGCGGCACAGCCCTGCCATTCATCTGTAAAAAAGGTCCGCGAGTCATGAATGCGTCACGTGCTTGGCATCATTGGGAATGTGTGCGCTGAACCGAAATTCCTTTCCTGCAAGCCGTGGCTCCCCTTGTCGTACCTGTACATGTCCTGCGTGTACCTGTGATAAGTGTTCTTGTCCCAAGAGGCCGTGTCCTACTTGTAGTTGTCCTGAGTGTCGTTGTGCTACTTGTGCCCCTCCTACCACCTGCCCTCCTGTTCCCCCTCTGCCCTGTCCGACTCATCCTCCTATGACTACCTGTCCCAGTCTTCCCACTTGTCCTCCCCCCAGCTGCCAGGTAATGTCACACACTGGAGTGAAAACTCTTCTCTGACGCACGTGCCTGATGACATGGAAGGTCCGGGACTACTTCTTTTGGCGCCTCATCCGGTGAGTTTCGGACTTGAGTTGTGTATTTTCCACGATAGCCTTTTTTCAGAGCGAGGACTCGTTCTCAGATTGGAGTGTTTGATCAATTCCACGGCATACTTCAATACAAATTTCATTGTTGACTGTAACAAATTGTGTGCGCGCAGGATGGATTCAGAGTAGACCTTTTGGGGCTGCTCGCTGTGGGCAGCAGCATCGCCATCGGAGGACAAGTCATGCCGATGGCCGAAGAGTACGTAACCTCCCAACCTCCCCTCCCAAAAGGAATTCACTTTCCACGACATGTTTGTGCTTCTCACATATAGTTTTGAACTGGAAAAATCCCGTGTTTTCAAAGACGCGAGTGTGTTGTTCTACTTTGGAATATATCGAGATACCTATGCAATGATATTTTAGTGGAGATAGATCAGAAGGAAATTGCGCATTCCCAGCCCTGACAAGGTCATTCAAATGCACGTCAAGTGACAACCTGAAAATCTGTTGCATTATACTCTCTCGAACTGATGTCAAATGTAATCGCATCATTGGTCACTTCCAATCGTTTTGCAACCCACATGTCGAAAAGTCGACCGAATTGTCTTTCGCACACTCCTAGTTTGAAGACACCTGAATGAGTGAATATTGCAGGTTGATCTTCGAGCTGGTCGCGGCCAACGACACTGCGCTGCAACTGGCCTTTCGCATGCAAGACAAAAAGATTCTTCTGACCGCCGACCTGAATGGGACCAAGAACATCGAGGAGAAAGAGATGGACTCCTTCCTCTTTGGACCCGGACGCGACTTTGAGGTCAGCTCAACCACGACGTCGACGGTATCATTCGGCAAACATCTCCATGACTGCCGTAACTGTTTATTGGTGGGCAGCAAGGTGGTCTGAAGGTTGTTTACTTCCATTTTAGTACTCTATCCGTGCCCAGACACCTCTTGACAACCAGCCCGTCATTTTGTCTGGAATGGCCAGTGAAAGAGCTCTTCGCCAGCACATTGCTCACACTGCTGTTGTGTCATTCAGGTGATCATCCAGTGCCACGACGGCGCCCACCAGGGTCGTGAACTGGGTTGAAGACCCGCAAAGCATTACGGCACTAACGATCGGGGATACCCTGTTGCTGAGGGACGTGAGGCTGATGTGACGTGACCGTCGCCATCAGATCGGAAGCCCCACTCTTTGATCGTCATATTGTCTATGGGGGTTTTCTCTTCCCTTAATTACTCCACGTGTCCATGTTTGGTTGCTGTGGAACAAATACAAATCAAATAAACCTGAGCATTGCACGTGAATGTCTCGTCTATAGTATGCTGAATTCCGATCATGTAGGGCGCGTTGACTGACATGTTTGACTACTATCACTGGGAGCTCTTCAAATTGAGGGAATTACTCTGCAAAACTACAGTAAATATTCTCTAGTGCGGACTCGTGTTTGCGCTGTCCAATTTGTCCTGATAACAGAAATTCCTCATTTGGGAAATGAGCATGGTACATGTCCTTGATGAACCTGCAAGTATGTTGACAAAAATGCACGTGTAACAACACAATCAATAAAATACAAAAATATACTGTCCAAAAACTTTATATAACAAAAACTGCAATACAGGTGAATCCAAAAAAAATCACAACAGTAAAATACGTACAGTATTTTAATGTTTATTTTTTTCTGTCTTGGGAAAAAAATGTGTCTATTTTGGATTGTTTGGTTGGATGCATTCTTTGGTTTATGACAATGTTTGCCTGCGTGTCATACAGTTTTCTTGCTAGTTGCAAGTAACTGTCCCATTGATCACCAATGTCTGGTAATTCTTGTGCATACTGACGGATTTTACTTGCCATTTGGATTGCTTCCTCGCTGGATGGTGGCTTGTCATCAGGA